CCTTCCTCAATTGATAGTGGACCGACTTCTGCAAGTGTGGCTCCACTTCTCCTCTTGGGGGAGTTCATGTGCATCTCCTATTCTTTTTGACGAGACGTCTTGGGTGAACCAGAGCTGAGGAGGACGGAGATGTGTGAGTGAGGGATATGCAACATCTCCGGAATATCGCGGCATCGGACAGATAGAAATGTCAGGAAATAGGGTAAATGCTAGCAGAAACATCCCAGAAACAACCATCCAACAGTAAGCTTGAAAGAGCAGGGCCCTCGATCCCCTCATGTTTTGCATTGTATTGGTATTGTTCTGTCACATGGTCTGTCCCCCTTTATAATGTACAGCGCTGAGCGAACTATTGGCGCTTTATAAATACTGTATAATAATAATAATAATAATAATAATAATAATCCAACTCAGAATACACACGGGAATATGAATATTATGAATATGCTATTAATAATAAACTGTATAGATACTAAATAATAATAATAATCTCCAAACTCAGAATACACCAGTCTCATTTGAAGGGCTAAAGGCACACAAATCTATTTATTTTTAGAGCCCATCCAATCCAGCCATCCACTGTTACCCAGAGAGGGGAGTTCCTTAAAGCAGACACCTACACCCGTCCATTCCTTAAAGGGATCTCTGGCCAGTTGGATCCCATATCTTCCTGCGAATCCCTGACAGCACCACCTTACCTAGAGGGAGGATCATCCTGGATTAAGACCTTATCCAACTCCTAAAGGGGACCTCCACTTATTCATATAATGCGTATATACATTACGCATCTGGTGAGTGCATAATTTTATTACACTATTTGGAGCACCATTATTTGGATTCTACTGCTATTTCTTGGCTAGATCTGCACAGACTGTTACCTTTTAATTTGGCACATTAATATATTTATGGACATTAGTAATTTATATACAGTTGCAAGAAAAAGTATGTGAACCCCTTGGCTTTTGGAGATACTTTTGTAACCCTTTCCAGCTTCATGCAAGTCAACAATTCTTGATCGTAGGTCTTCTGAGAGCTCTTTTCTGCAAGACATGGTTCACATCAGACAGTGCTTCTTGAAACCAGTAAACCCAAAACAGGTGTGTGTTTTTTTAAGGGCAGGACAGCTGTCAGCAACACATCCAATATCATCACACTGATTGGAGTCAAGGTTGGCTCACTCTTGGCTCCAATTAGCTCTGGGAGAAGTCATTAAGCTAGGGCCTCACATACTTTTTCCTCCCTGCACTGTGAATGTTTACATGTTATTTGCAATTAAACCATGGCAACATCTAATATTTGTGTAGTATTATGTTCAGCAGACTGTGTTCTTCTATTGTTGTGACTTAGATGACGTTCAGAGCACATTTTATGCCCAATTCATGCAAAACTCCACGTAATCCCAAGGGGTTCACATACTTTTTCTTGCAACTGTATATGTTTTTAGCGCTGCACCTTTTATTTTGTATGATTTTCTGAAGGTTTTTACTGGTTGCTGTTGGTGCTTTAGCTGCTGACTAAGAGAGCGCTCACTTTTCCTTTATATTTTTAGGGCTTTTTTTATTGTTTGAAGGCATGTTTTGGGCTTTGTTCCTTTCCCCCATTTCTGTTTACATCTGGTCGGGAAGGAATAAGACGTAAAAAGGAAAAAGCAAGATATTGTCAAGAAAGTTTTGGTCTCTGGTTTGTTTGATTACCATTTCTGTTATTCTGTTTATTACGGGATCTGCGTATCCACGTTATTCTATTTACGTGTAATCCTGCTGTTGCAGTAATGTCATTGTGCATTCTGTAAGTACTGTTCCATTTTCTCTTATCTTCACAATAAAAGTTGTTTGGATTAAAATAAAAAAATATGTTACCCCAACATTCATATTCCAGATATGTGCCTGCTGTACCACGTACTTGTTTGAAAAAGTCTCCTGTTCTCTTTGTATTGCTTCCTTTGTGTGAAATCCCTGGTGTTCCTGCCTTCTGCTTTCCTATTAAAAACTGACCACACTAGGCATGAGGCACAGCAAGGACAGTTTTCTGGCTGTGCTGGAAACTCAGCCTGCTCTTCTCCAATGATTAGACTTTTGCCTACATTATTTATTTATTTCAGGTACTTATATAGCGCCATCAGTTTACACAGAGCTTTACATATATATTATACATTCACATCAGTCCCTAACTCTTAAGGGGAGTACAATCTAAGGTGACTTGCACCTGCACAGACATTCACTGGGAAGACCAGTGTAATGCTGTTTATCTTCCTGTAGCTCTCTGAGCTGAGAACAGAGATTATGTGATCATTTTTAAAAGAGGGAAAAAAAGTATTTATATTGTTTTTTATGTATACATAAATGTTTTGCCTTTCATTTCTATTTTAAACTGAATGAGTTGTTTCACAAGATAAGGGTTCACATTTACTTTTACCACATACAGTTACCAGTATGCAATATTTTTCACTCTAGTGGTTCTTTAATGGAAGTCAAGCAGTCATGTCATTATTTCTAGGTGAATTGTCAGGTGGAGTAAAGTCTAGGAGAAGGAACAAAATGGTAAGGAGTGCAGTCATGTTAGGTTCACAATTCTTTATAATAAAACAGTTTGAATGAACAAAAGATCAAATCAAACAAGGAAACATTTTAAACAATTTTAATGCACAGCATGACCTGTAAAATATGTTTCCTTCTATGTGCGTTTCTTCATGCTAAAATGCAAGTGCATTCTGCTGAACTGCCAGGTACATAGGGGTCCATTCCGACACAATAGCACCTCAACATATGACTCTGTTTTATGTATTCAGGAAATGTGGTCATTACAGAAACACACTAGTGTGAATGGACCATTTAGGTGCACTTAAGGGAAAGCCAATATTTGTGTTTTTGATATGGACCTGTTCAGCAACGACATGAAGAAAGTGGGTGGCTGCACACAGGTTCTATTTCTTTGAAGTCACTAACAGGTGGGAGACTGCTAGGACCCCATAAACAGCATGACTTTTCACAGAAAGAGTTGCACTCTCTTTTTTAAACAGCAATGGGCAGTTATAATGTAATCAGACGCAAGCTTTATTTCGTTGATTTTTATTTTAACTCTCAACTCGAGCCAAAGAGCAAGTTACACAGAATAAACACATCAGGCTTTTAGGACATACCTGTACATCCTCGGGTTTAAGTGGTTACACCGGGAACACGGCTGCAGCCATGATTCTTGTATAAAAATTGGCAGCCCGCGATATGCTGTCCTGTAGAAGTGATCTGAGAGGCCCAGGGTGGATTTGATTTAAATCAAAATGATTTAAATCACGATTTAAATCACTAGTCAGTAAGGCTTGATTTAAATCCTAGTTTTCTACATAGAGACTAATTCTTGCTGGTATAACTTTAACCTTCTTAGCGGTGTTCCCGAGTGTAGCTCGGGGTAAAATTTGAGTACCAAGAGCGGTAACCCCGAGCTACACTCGGGCTTACCATGCAGTGTTGCTCTGGGGGTCCCTGCAGCACTTACCCTGTCCTTCGCTCCCACGATGTGTCCCCTGCAGCGTCCCCGGCCATCTCCTCTGGCCGATGCCGGCATCCGGCTTCTGTGTTCCGGTCCCTGTGACGTCGGGGCGTACGGGCGCCGGAACCGGCGGGAAATTTGACATTTTTTAAAAATGTAATTTTTGCTGTCATTGCTGTTTCAATGCATTTCACTAATATTTTGTCCCTACTGCTTTGTCCTGTGCCCTGCCTGCATTTTGAATGTTCTTTCTGCCTGGAAACTTAGAAAAGTCCATGGCGTCCAAAAAGTGTCCCTTTACGTCAAAAGCGGTTTTATAGCAGCGATAGTAAATCAGAACCACTTGCAGAATTGAGTGATAATGATTTGTGGGGAAATTCGTCATCAGACACTGAAAACTATTTTGCGACTTTGCTCGGCGATGTGCGAATTTGCTTCTGTATTTCAAATTTCAGTGTTTTTGGTTTGATTATATTATTGAATTAAATGTATTATTATTATATTATTATTCTTTATGATTATTTATTAAATTATAATTTATGATTTCGTGTTTCAAATTTTATCATACCCGGGATGTTTACTAGACTCTTGTTCAGACAGATTTCAGTGAGTTTTTCCTAAAAATTACAGCCTACAATAAAAAAACTACATATTTCCATGAAAAAAATGGTACCGCTTTCAGCACAAAAAATCAGAGAGAATCATACCGCCAAGGAGGTTAATATGCAAGTAGATGATGATTTTTAGAATAACAACTTTTCATATTAGTTTTTTTATCCCCAGTTTAATAGGTTAATCATTCATATTTGGACAACTTTTCTGTTGTACTTAGGAAGGAGAAAAATAATCATTACCTTAATAATAACAATTTAAATAGATTTATTCAACTGAAACAATAACATTCCAGCATATGTGATTTGCTTAAACATCCATGTTTGTTAACTAATTCGGCTAAACAAAATATATATATTTTAAGAAACTTAGACTGTCAGCCCCTTCCTCCTCACACTTAGTTTCACTTTCTTCTTGTGCAGATCTATTCCACTCCAAACAATCAGAAAAATATTGTTTCTATTCTATTCACTGAACTTCTTGAAACTTAGCAGTGAAGGGGTTGATTCTGTATTCATAGGTTTGTAGAAGTTAGGATGAAGGTCTTTTTCTTAACTCTGTTCATGTTATAACATTTTTGCTGTGAAGAAGAGGCATGTGATCTCCGCTGAGTCAAATTCAGTTTTGAGAACTGCAAAAGTAAACCAAACATCTGTGATAATATCTTGTAGGCAGAGAAACTGCCCAATAATCTTACAGAAACCTCTGGAAGAGCATGACATTGTGAATGGATTCATGGAATTTATTTACCAAAAACATTGAACATATATAGAGATGAGTGAAATATTCAAAAATTCGATTCGGCTGATTCGGCGAATTCGAGGAATAAATTCGATTCGATGCGAATATATTCGCTGCGAATTTAACTTATAAAAAGGGTGTTTCTAGGCTTCAGAGAGCCTTTATATTAGTGCAGAACACTGTACCTTTAATTTAAATGCCCTTGGAGTCTGCTGGGGAAGAGAAGTAATACTGTCAGTCAGTATGACATGCAGATGAGTGCCGTCGATCTTAGAATCACCGCACACTTCACTCATTTGGGCAGTCACGGGGCCAAAACCAGAGTGTGGAGCCACAGTGTGGCGGTGGAGGCAGCAGCAATGGGAGGCCATACAGCACCCTATGACAAAATGGAACCCACCAGCAGTGTGAGGAGACCTGAAAGTGGCACATGGCAGAGTGTGGCGATGGAGACAGCAGCAATGGGAGGCCGTACAGGGACCCATGAGACACTCTGGACCTGGCAGCAGCATGAGGAGGCGGTACAGGGGCCCATGACAGATTACGGGCCTGGCAGCAGCATGAGGAGGCGGTACAGGGGCCCATGGCAGATTACGGGCCTGGCAGCAGCAATGGGAGGCCCGTAATCTGCCAGCACCCTATGACAAAATGGAACCCACCAGCAGTGTGAGGAGACCTGAAAGTGGCACATGGCAGAGTGTGGCGATGGAGACAGCAGCAATGGGAGGCCGTACAGGGACCCATGAGACACTCTGGACCTGGCAGCAGCATGAGGAGGCGGTACAGGGGCCCATGGCAGATTACGGGCCTGGCAGCAGCAATGGGAGGCCCGTAATCTGCCAGCACCCTATGACAAAATGGAACCCACCAGCAGTGTGAGGAGACCTGAAAGTGGCACATGGCAGAGTGTGGCGATGGAGACAGCAGCAATGGGAGGCCGTACAGGGACCCATGAGACACTCTGGACCTGGCAGCAGCATGAGGAGGCGGTACAGGGGCCCATGGCAGATTACGGGCCTGGCAGCAGCAATGGGAGGCCCGTAATCTGCCAGCACCCTATGACAAAATGGAACCCTCCAGCAGTGTGAGGAGACCTGAAAGTGGCACATGGCCGAGTGTGGCGATGGAGACAGCAGCAATGGGAGGCCGTACAGGGACCCATGAGACACTCTGGACCTGGCAGCAGCATGAGGAGGCGGTACAGGGGCCCATGACAGATTACGGGCCTGGCAGCAGCATGAGGAGGCGGTACAGGGGCCCATGGCAGATTACGGGCCTGGCAGCAGCAATGGGAGGCCCGTAATCTGCCAGCACCCTATGACAAAATGGAACCCACCAGCAGTGTGAGGAGACCTGAAAGTGGCACATGGCAGAGTGTGGCGATGGAGACAGCAGCAATGGGAGGCCGTACAGGGACCCATGAGACACTCTGGACCTGGCAGCAGCATGAGGAGGCGGTACAGGGGCCCATGGCAGATTACGGGCCTGGAAGCAGCAATGGGAGGCCCGTAATCTGCCAGCACCCTATGACAAAATGGAACCCACCAGCAGTGTGAGGAGACCTGAAAGTGGCACATGGCAGAGTGTGGCGATGGAAACAGCAGCAATGGGAGGCCGTACAGGGACCCATGAGACACTCTGGACCTGGCAGCAGCATGCATGAGGAGCGGTACAGGGGCCCATGGCAGATTACGGGCCTGGCAGCAGCAATGGGAGGCCCGTAATCTGCCAGCACCCTATGACAAAATGGAACCCTCCAGCAGTGTGAGGAGACCTGAAAGTGGCACATGGCAGAGTGTGGCGATGGAGACAGCAGCAATGGGAGGCCGTAAAGGGACCCATGAGACACTCTGGACCTGGCAGCAGCATGAGGAGGCGGTACAGGGGGGCCCATGGCAGATTACGGGCCTGGCAGCAGCAATGGGAGGCCCGTAATCTGCCAGCACCCTATGACAAAATGGAACCCACCAGCAGTGTGAGGAGACCTGAAAGTGGCAAATGGCAGAGTGTGGCGATGGAGACAGCAGCAATGGGAGGCCGTACAGGGACCCATGAGACACTCTGGACCTGACAGCAGCATGAGGAGGCGGTACAGGGGCCCATGGCAGATTACGGGCCTGGCAGCAGCAATGGGAGGCCCGTAATCAGCCAGCACCCTATGACAAAATGGAACCCACCAGCAGTGTGAGGAGACCTGAAAGTGGCACATGGCAGAGTATGGCGTTGGAGACAGCAGCAATGGGAGGCCGTACAGGGACCCATGAGACACTCTGGACCTGGCAGCAGCATGAGGAGGCGGTACAGGGGCCCATGGCAGATTACGAGGCCTGCAGCAATGGGAGGCAGCAATGGGAGGCCCGTAATCTGCCAGCACCCTATGACAAAATGGAACCCCCCAGCAGTGTGAGGAGACCTGAAAGTGGCACATGGCAGAGTGTGGCGATGGAGACAGCAGCAATGGGAGGCCGTACAGGGACCCATGAGACACTCTGGACCTGGCAGCAGCATGAGGAGGCGGTACAGGGGCCCATGGCAGATTACGGGCCTGGCAGCAGCAATGGGAGGCCCGTAATCTGCCAGCACCCTATGACAAAATGGAACCCACCAGCAGTGTGAGGAGACCTGAAAGTGGCAAATGGCAGAGTGTGGCGATGGAGACAGCAGCAATGGGAGGCCGTACAGGGACCCATGAGACACTCTGGACCTGGCAGCAGCATGAGGAGGCGGTACAGGGGCCCATGGCAGATTACGGGCCTGGCAGCAGCAATGGGAGGCCCATAATCTGCCAGCACCCTATGACAAAATGGAACCCCCACCAGCAGTGTGAGGAGACCTGAAAGTGGCACATGGCAGAGTGTGGCGATGGAGACAGCAGCAATGGGAGGCCGTACAGGGACCCATGAGACACTCTGGACCTGGCAGCAGCAGCATGAGGAGGCGGTACAGGGGCCCATGGCAGATTACGGGCCTGGCAGCAGCAATGGGAGGCCCGTAATCTGCCAGCACCCTATGACAAAATGGAACCCACCAGCAGTGTGAGGAGACCTGAAAGTGGCACATGGCAGAGTGTGGCGATGGAGACAGCAGCAATGGGAGGCCGTACAGGGACCCATGAGACACTCTGGACCTGGCAGCAGCATGAGGAGGCGGTACAGGGGCCCATGGCAGATTACGGGCCTGGCAGCAGCAATGGGAGGCCCGTAAATCTGCCAGCACCCTATGACAAAATGGAACCCACCAGCAGTGTGAGGAGACCTGAAAGTGGCACATGGCAGAGTGTGGCGATGGAGACAGCAGCAATGGGAGGCCGTACAGGGACCCATGAGACACTCTGGACCTGGCAGCAGCATGAGGAGGCGGTACAGGGGCCCATGGCAGATTACGGGCCTGGCAGCAGCAATGGGAGGCCCGTAATCTGCCAGCACCCTATGACAAAATGGAACCCACCAGCAGTGTGAGGAGACCTGAAAGTGGCACATGGCAGAGTGTGGCGATGGAGACAGCAGCAATGGGAGGCCGTACAGGGACCCATGAGACACTCTGGACCTGACAGCAGCATGAGGAGGCGGTACAGGGGCCCATGGCAGATTACGGGCCTGGCAGCAGCAATGGGAGGCCCGTAATCTGCCAGCACCCTATGACAAAATGGAACCCACCAGCAGTGTGAGGAGACCTGAAAGTGGCAAATGGCAGAGTGTGGCGATGGAGACAGCAGCAATGGGAGGCCGTACAGGGACCCATGAGACACTCTGGACCTGGCAGCAGCATGAGGAGGCGGTACAGGGGCCCATGGCAGATTACGGGCCTGGCAGCAGCAATGGGAGGCCCATAATCTGCCAGCACCCTATGACAAAATGGAACCCACCAGCAGTGTGAGGAGACCTGAAAGTGGCACATGGCAGAGTGTGGCGATGGAGACAGCAGCAATGGGAGGCCGTACAGGGACCCATGAGACACTCTGGACCTGGCAGCAGCATGAGGAGGCGGTACAGGGGCCCATGGCAGATTACGGGCCTGGCAGCAGCAATGGGAGGCCCGTAATCTGCCAGCACCCTATGACAAAATGGAACCCACCAGCAGTGTGAGGAGACCTGAAAGTGGCACATAGCAGAGTGTGGCGATGGAGACAGCAGCAATGGGAGGCCGTACAGGGACCCATGAGACACTCTGGACCTGGCAGCAGCATGAGGAGGCGGTACAGGGGCCCATGGCAGATTACGGGCCTGGCAGCAGCAATGGGAGGCCCGTAATCTGCCAGCACCCTATGACAAAATGGAACCCACCAGCAGTGTGAGGAGACCTGAAAGTGGCACATGGCAGAGTGTGGCGATGGAGACAGCAGCAATGGGAGAGGCCGTACAGGGACCCATGACACACTCTGGACCTGGCAGCAGCAAGAGGAGGCGGTACAGGGGCCCATGGCAGAGTGGCGAAGCGTAAGCAGCTTAAATTGAAGGCCATACAGAGGCCTATGTTAAAAATAATAACATGTTTGGGGCATGATTTAGTCAGTTGTGTCAGGAACTGGTGGTTTGAAATCCAGACTAATCCACGCCTGATTCATTTTCACAAACGTGAGTCTCTCCACACTTTGGGTGGACAGTCGTGTCCTCCGCGGAGTTACAATACCTCCTGCCGCACTAAACACGCGCTCCGATGCCACGCTACTGGCCGGGCATGACAGCCTTTCAAGGGCAAATTCAGCTAGTTGGGGCCAAAGGTCAAGTTTCGTTGACCAGTAGTCAAGGGGATTGTCTACCTCGGTTGGCAGGGTGCTGTCCAAGTAGGCCCAAGCCTGTTGTTTGAGCTCCTGCTCCAGGTCCACCTGATGCTGCTGCTGCTGCGGCTGGTTTAGTTTCCTCACTGCGCTGGTGAAGAAAGCTACTCATCATCGACTGCAGACTGAGGCAGCCGCTGCTGGTGGAGCTGCCACTGCTCCTACCACCCCACCCCTCCCCTGCTGCCATGGCAACGGAACGCGAGCGCGCACAGGGCCCACAGTGTCTGAAGATGGACGTTGGCGCAGAAAGGCAGAGACCAACTGAGTACATAGGTGTTTTTTATAGTACGTTATTTTGGCCTCCCTCTCAGCAGGTGTGAAAAAGGCCCCATTTTTGAACGGTAGCGAGGGTCCAACAAGGTGGACAGCCAAAAGTCATCCCTCTGTCTGATGGTTATTATTCGGCTGTCGCTACGCAAGCAACCGAGCATGCTATGGGCCATTTGTGCCAAGGAATGCGAGGGACTCCCTGCCTCCATCTCCACAGCATACTGCCACGGTGGGTCTGGGTCCTCTGTCTCCTCCTCCTCCTCCTCCTCTACCAGATGCTCCTGCTCCTCCACTCCTGTCCGCTGAGTGGAAAAACCACCCATTTCACTCAATAATTCCTGAGCACAATGTCCTCTCCTCTACCTCCTCCTCTTCTTCCTGTCCTGCCCCCACAGGGGTCATGTGGCGTTGAGATCTGTGCGCCACGTCTACCGCACCCTGACCAGCCATTGTTAACAGCATTTGTTCCAGGACGTGCAACAGAGGAATGACGTCGTTCATCCCATAGTCCTGCCGACTCACGAATAGCGTGGCCTCCTCAAAGGGCCTGAGCAAGCGGCAGGTGTCACGCATGAGCTGCCAATGGCTGACATCGAAGTTACACAGGGGAGTACCTTTATCCGCTTGTAACATCAGGAAATCGGTGATGGCCTTTCGCTGTTCGTAAAGGCGGTCTAACATATGTAGGGTTGAATTCCACCTTGTTGCAACGTCGCAGATCAGGCGATGCTGTGGAATTCCGTT